GAGAGTGTACTTTGTTTTTCATGACTGTGTGTGTATATATATATATATATATATATATATATATATATATAAAAAGAACTCTTAATCCTTGCACACTGACCAAACAGTAATAATATCCGGGTGCTTGTAATCCAGGGTAAATGGAGATATAGATAGGCAGAAAATGGCCAGCACTCACGGTTTCAGGTAAAAGTTAAAATTCAGAAATTTATTAGAACATCTTTAAAAATGTAGCAGCTCGACGTTTCAGTCCTCCTCCGGGACTTTCATCAGGAATACTGTATTGAAAGTCCCGGAGGAGGACTGAAACGTCGAGCTGCTACATTTTTAAAGATGTTCTAATAAATTTCTGAATTTTAACTTTTACCTGAAACCGTGAGTGCTGGCCATTTTCTGCCTATCTATATATATATATATATATATATATATATATTCATGTGTTACTTATTATAGGTAGACATGAATATTATAAATATAACTGACTGGTGCAGCACAAACAAATTGGAACTCTCATATATAGCACTGATTAGATTAAAAAAAATGCCATTGATGGACTCAATAATAGAGTTGAATTAATGTGCATGCAAAATGCAGCAGTATTTTATTTATTAACATTATGACTGTTTATGGCTTAGTAATTTACTTAATGTACAGAATATATTTTCGGAAAATCACATTATTTGAAATTACCCACTTTGTCAATTAACTCATATAAACCTAATGAAATGCATCTTCAAGCCATTAATCAGTTAACAATAGAATATACCCATATTGCATGCAAATCTAACTTTGAAATTAAAATGAAATGTTATTAGTACATATTTGTTTTGCATATTTTAGGTCCTGCAAACTTGTCCTTTTAATATTGAACAGTGCCTTTTATTTAGCAAAGCTAAACATTGTACCTCATATGAAATTTGCACTATTATTAATAAAATATAATTTCAAATAATGTTACGTTTCCATAATGTAAAAAGTCTTTGCAGCACAATCACAGTTCTGTATGACATATACTATGTTAACTGTAACAGTAAATAAAATCTATTTATTTTATTTACTATTTTATTATATTTGCTTTATCTTTATGTACAATGGACTCTTTTAATAATTAACAAAACATGCTATATTTGACAAAAAAACTGTTCACCTGTCATGTTTAGATGCCAATTAAGACAAAGCATGACACCAAAATGACACAAATATGTAATGTTATCTGAACTTTAGCAAAAGAATAATGTATGGAGAAAAACTGTAAACGTTTCCTCGGAATTCTGCATGCTGTGCTGAGTATCAATTATTAATTTCTATCCTATTGTGCTTTTTTAAGAACTATTTAATTAGTAACCATTGACAGTGATAGGTCTAGATGATTTGAATAACTGAAATATCTAGTATTACATTCATGCAAAAATACCGTAATACAAAGGGTGAGTCAGTAAATTGTAAGCCAATGAGTCAGATGTGATTAGATGGGATACAATATTGAGATAATGAATTGTTAAATATGTTAAGTTTAAGCTTGCAGATCACAGTAGAATGTGCTGCAAGGAGACAATGTCAAGCAAATTTGCTTATTTTCTAGTGGGTAATTAGAGCAGCTAAAAAGGCACACAGAACCATAACATGAGATGAAAACCAAGAGATGTGTATCTAAGATAGATAGATAGACAGACAGATGAGCTGACAGACGGGAAGACAGTCAGACAGGCAGATAAGGAATATATAGACAGACGGACGGACAGTCAGACAGAGAGAGACAGACGTGCGGACAGTCAGACAGACAGACAGATGGGCGGACAGTCAGACAGATAGACAGACAGACAGACAGACAGACGGATGGACTGTCAGATAGGTAGACACTCAAAGATCTATAGGTATTTATGAGTTTGCCTGTCTCTTTATATTTATTTATAATAAACATATGACACTATATGATACCTAATGTGGTGAGGAATGTTTATGTGTGTGATGTGGTATGTAAGTTCTAATATCTGAATGCTGAATTTGTAGTGTTGAGTACTTTATGTCAAAACACGTTTTGATATTGGACTGCCATTTGATCTTGAGAAAGGTCCCAGAGATGACCAAAACGTCAATCTGCTGTTTTTTTCTTATGGAATAAAGAAAACTTCACTATGAGAGACCGTGAGTGCAGTTGACCATTTTTTTTTTTTTTACGAAGAGATATTTTTTATTTCTCCATTTAAATAAATTCCTATACCCACTTGGTGTGGACCAACTACATTTACTTTAATTAGCAGACTATTGCAACACTGTGTATATCCCACTGAAGAGGGGTTTGGATCTCACCAAGTATCCTAGAGCTCAGTGTCATTGTGGTTTTATGTTTGTGAGTACTTGCAATTCATAAGATATATATTGCATGTGAAAAGGTTTATTTGCACTATTATCTTTCCTCCCTTTTTTGTTTTACAGAATTGTTTTATATATAATGAGAAAAATATGCATTATTACTATTTTTATATAGCTCCACTCTTTGTGTTTGCTTGGTATTTAATAGTTTAGTTGATCCTTTGCTATGAAAAAATGCTAAAGAGGTACTGCTTATTTATAATGTGCATTCTTTCTTTTCAGTGTTAATTCCTTTACTAAGGCATGTCTTGTATTACACTTCTGACCCTGGTAACTGGATAATTTCAGTAGACTTTGTGAATCACAAACTTAATTATAAACTGAACATCCAATTGGTATTTGCTACTGAACTTCCTCTATCACAGGTAACACATGTTCATCTCTTTCTCCATTAGAGAGTTACACATTAATCAAATTGATACTGGAATTTTCACTGAGCTTCCCGTGTCACACAGGCCATGCACTTATCGTAGGATAATTTGATGACTTTTCATATTGTCTTTCACTTTTTTTTTGCCCCTTTCCCCACCTTTGCATTTATTGCATTTAATATTTGCCCTCTTTATTTATAATCCAACCTTCAGTTCTGGCACACTTTACCCTACTTTTGCATTTTGTAATTGTGTCAAGTATGGCCTTGGTCCCTGACCACAAATGTTCACACCGTAAGTTCTGTAGTTTTAAGAGGTATTTAATTACCTTTAAAACTAATGCAGCACATGAGACTGTAGGCATTTTTGTATAAAACCCAACGCTCATCATTTAACTATGTTATCATAGGCCCTCTTTATTTGCAGGCAAAATTATAGTAAGCACTATGATATGGATTGGTTTAGTGAAACAAGTGGATAGATAAGTGACGGGTGCTTAACGAGAAAAAAATCTTGTTCTCTCACCAGATACAAAACCATAGCAGAAAATGGGCCCAAAGCACACCACAAGTAATTGCACATAATAAGATCTTTATGCATACAATGACATAGTAAAAACCATACACTCAAAGTGCAATATACATTAGGCATGCAAGCAGCATAAAACATGAATTTATAAGAGCTTCCAAATCACACACAGAAGAGAAAATAGCAGTCAGTAAAAAAGGGGACAAAACATTATTTAGAGACATAAATTAGAAAAGGAAAGTAAAACAAGGATTAGTTAGATTAAAAACAAAAGAAGGAATGTATGTAGAATATGATAAAGGTCTAATTGACAGGCTCAATTAATATTTTTGTTCAGTATTTACAGATGAAAATGAAGGAAATGGACCTCAGTTAGGAAAAAGGACAAATGAATCATTTGTTACATGTGAGTTTACAGGGAAAGAGGTTCTATTTTAACTGTCAAAAGTAAAGCCAAATCACTCAGTGGGGCCTGATGGAATGCACCCAAAGTTATTAAAAGAACTTAGTGGTGTACTAGCAAAATCATTAACAGATTTAATTAGTTAATTATTGTTAACAGGAGATTGGAAGTTAGTGAATGTTGTGCCCATTCTCAAGAAAGGTAGTAGGGAAAAGTCAGGCAACTATAGACCAGCAAGCCTTACTTACTTCAGTAGTGGAAAAAGTAATGGAAACCATGTTAAAGGATAGGATTGTTGTACATCTAAAATCACATGGATTTCAAGATCAGAGGCAACATGGGTTTACTTCAGGGAAATCATGTCAAACTAATCTTATTCATTTTTTGATTGGGTAACTAAAATAATAGATCAGGGTGGGGCAGTAGACATTACTTATCTAGATTTCAGGAAGGCTTTTGACACTGTTGCACTGTCATGGGGTGGCGGTCCGAAGACCGGGACCCAGTATGCCTGATGTTGGTAGGAGTCACAGTGTGGAATAGGGCAATCAGGGTCTGGTGCAGGGTAACCACACACCCCCTGGTGTTGAACACGAATGTTTGTGCGGCCACATACCAGGACCCTTATGCAGCTACTACAGATCCCATGTGCTTGATATTTTGCAGTCCTCCCAAGATCTGGATAGGGAGGCTCGTCAGCAGATATGTATCCAGTACTAGAAACATGGCAGAACTAGAATAACTCAGAACCGAAGCAGGACAGAAAGCAGAACCCAAAACATGTACACAAGACAAGAGGAAAACAAGAACAGAACATAGGCAGGGCAGGACAAGACTGTACATGAATTAGGAATACAAGACAAAATAAAACAAGACAAGATATACAAGGCAAAACAAGAGGTGTAATAACTAAGTACTATAAACATTGGAGATTTAGACATACATAAATGGCCAAGCTGTATGCAGCCCACCACTGCATCAAAGTACAATTACTGTGGGTCCTAACTGCATAGTTATGCATGACTAAAAGTACAATAATAAAACACACATAGTACTTACCTGCAAGGAAATGAGCAGAGGAAAGAGACCACCGCTAGCAGGGAACACACTGAAACAAAATGGATAAATGGAAAAAGGAATGAGTGTGGTAACAAAAAACAAACATTTAAAGTAAACCAGGAGACTGTGAATTCCAGGAACGGAATAAAGGAATGAACCTAGAAAACCCAGCATTAATGATGTCCCGAACGGTTTGTCGAACGGTTCACGAACGGTTCGCCACGGACTCATCATTGAGTAAACTTTGACCCTGTACCTCACAGTCAGCAGACACATTCCAGCCAATCAGCAGCAGACCCTCCCTCCCAGACCCTCCCACCTCCTGGACAGCATCCATTTTACATTCATTGTGAAGCTGCATTCTTAGTGAGCTGTCCAGGAGGTGGGAGGGTCTGGGAGGGAGGGTCTGTTGCTGATTGGCTGTAATGTGTCTGCTGACTGTGAGGTACAGGGTCAAAGTTTACTCAATGATGAGTCCGTGGCGAACCGTTTGCGAACTGTTCGACAAACCGTTCGGGACATCATTAATGCTGGGTTTTCTAGGTTCATTCCTTTATTCCGTTCCTGGAGTCCGCGATGAACCGTTCGTGGCGAACCGTTCGCAAACCGTTCGGCGAACTGTTCGGGACATCACTACCCAGCATAAAGAAAACCAGACATAGAATAGAGAACCAGAAAAAACAAGAAAAACTATACAAGAATTGTAAAATAAAGAGTACTGGATATAAGAAATAATCTGCAGACAGGAACGGGATGTGACATGCACATAGAAGGCTTATCAATAAACTTCAATTTAAGATGCATCTGATTTGTCCGATTTAAATGCTTTAAATGCCCTTTTCTTATTTTTAATCTCTTTACTTCTCTACTAAGCCATATTGGTTTTAATTTGTTTCTTTTATATTTATTACCCAATGATACATACAGAGAAATATACCTTTCTAATATTAAAGATGTTCCATTTATCCTCAGTGTTCTTTTAACTAAAGAGTTTATGCCAGTCAATATATAGTAAAGCTGCCCTTAAGTTATAGAACTTGGCCTTTTAAAAATTATATGTTTTAGTATACCCCATGTGCTTTTGTTTTTTTAAAGTTTATTTCAAAGGACACTGTATTTGAATGTTGGTCAAAAGATTAACGTTGTTTGTTAAAACTAGATCCAGACAAGCATCCTTTCTAGTTGGTGCTTGTACAAGTTGTGACATGAAGGTGTAATTTAACAAGTTTAAAAACCTAATTCCCTTTGCTGAGGTACTAGTCCCTCTGTCCCAATTTATTTCCGGGTAATTAAAATCTCCAATAATTAAAGTGTTACCCAGATTTGCAAATGGTTTATAACATATCCCAACCAATAGTTGATTTCCCTTCTTTTTCCCCAAGCAGATATTTACCCATAAAGCTTCCACATCTTCCTCATCACATTCCATTTGCTTAAGATTTGGCTTTAACTCATGGTTGACATACAAACATACCCCACCACCCTTCTTGTTTTTCCTATCCTTCCTAAATAACATACCCATTTAAGTTAACTGCCCAGTCATGTGTCTCATCCCACCATGTTTCAGCTATGCCTATTATATCATATTGTTTAGTGTATGCTACTGCCTATAGTTCCCCCATTTTGTTATTTAGGCTTCTTGCATTAGTAAGCATAAATTTAAATTTAAATTTAATATCATGAGTCACTTGTACTTTTTGTGAATTATCAACATTACTTACCTTCTCTGTTCTGAGCTTGCCCCTCCCCCCGTCCTGACCCCCCTTATACTGAGCTAAATCCCATCTCCTTTCTGTCCTATCTCCATTTTGTAGATTGCTATGACCCTCCCCCCCTCCTACTAGTTTAAAATCTCCTCCAACTTTCTAGCCATCCTATCCCCCAGCACTGCAGACCCTCTCCCATTTAGGTGCAACCCATCACTACTATAAAGGTTGTACCCAAGCACAAAGTTGACCCAGTGCTCTAAAAACCTAAAACCATCCTTCCTTCACCCACGCATTGTCCTCTCTAATCTCCCGCTGCCTTCCACTGTACCGCGTGGCACTTTTCTTACGTTTTCTACCTAATTCCCTAAAATCATTCTTTAGGACCTTCCATCTTCCTCTTACTTTGTAATTGGTATCAACATGGACCATCCACTCTGTCAGCAACAAGATATGTAGCAGAGCTGATGTTCCAGGAAGGGTAAGCCAAATGGCAAATGATTTAGGTAAAGTAGAAAAATGGTTAGAGTTGTGGCAGCTGACATTTAATGTGGATAAGTGCAAGATAATACATTTTAGAAGTAAAAACCCAATGGCACAGTATAGAATATTTAATAGAGTCTTAACCTCAACATCTGAGGAAAGGGATTTCAGATTACTTAAAAGTAGGCAGACATTGTAATAGAGCAGCAGGAAATGCTAGCAGAATGATTGGTTGTATAGGGAGAGGTATTAGCAGTATAAAGAGGGAAGTGCTCATGCCATTGTGCAGAACACTGGTGAGATGTTTCTATGAAGCTTAATGTAAAGTGCTCACACTTAAAAACCCATATACCAATATGAAAGCAGGTATACTGACCTAGAGTAGGAGATAATCAAACCCCATAGAGTCAGTGTTTAGCCTTCCTCAGGGTTGTTTGTGGGGCAATGTATGTTATCTATAGGGGTTTATATGTTTTGGGGAGGAGCTTAGAGTGCAAGGGAGAGATAATATTGTCTGTAGTGTATGTTGATGGACCTAAAGACAGCAGTGTGTGTGTGGGTGAGGGAATAAGGGCTGTTGTAGGTGTGCAAGGTAAAAGGGACTAAAATTTGTGCAGGGTAAGATAGGAATTGTGGAGCTTGTTGAGTAATAGGGGCTGGATGGAAATGTGTGTGTGGGTATAAAAGGGAAAGAACAAAAAAAGGTGTGTACCAGGGACAGGAGGTCCCAGGAGCACTTTAGAAGAACCCTCAGAGTATAGGGCAAATATAAATTTAAAAACACATTTTATTGTAATTCATAAAATACAGAAATAAAAGATAAAAAAATAATTAGACAAAATACCTAATCACTCCACATGTAGATCCTTGTGGAGAGCTTACAGGCTCAACAGACCTAATAGGGGTATGTAATAAGTGGGTTAGCAGGACTGACTAAAAGACAAACATAAGAGGGTGAGTAGCAATCAGAATAAAACTATCTGTATTGATTATATACTGGGAAGTATATGTAACAGTTCCCAGAGTAGGAAACTTTGTAATCATAGATAGAAACTTCCTGAGGAATTGCTACAATATCACCAAATGCCCATCAGAAAATAAATAATAAAATAAAAGGTAACATAAAGACTGCAAACAGTTTACACTAAGTCCTGCAGATTCAGTGGGATTCAGTTCAGACTACTTTCAACTTATAGCCAGGGATTCAGAAGGCAGATATCTTACTGCTTAACATAAGGCTAAATAGTATCTGCAGGACTTAGTGTAAACTGTTTGCAGCCTTTATGTTACCTTTTATTTTATTATTAATTTTCTGATGGGCATTTGGGGATCTTGTAGTGTGATAGTGTGTTGTGTGTGAGAGTGTGTTGTATGACTGAGGGTGATGTGTGTGTTAGGGTGCTGTGTGTGTCTGAGGGTGCTGAGTGTCTGAGGGTGCTGTCTGTGTCTGAGGGTGCTGTTTGTGTGAGTGTGCTGTGTGTGTCTGAGGGTGCTGTCTGTGTCTGAGGGTGCTGTGTGAGTGAGGGTGCTGTGTGAATCTGAGTGTGCTGTGTGTGTCTAAGGGTGCTGTCTGTGTCTGAGGGTGCTGTTAGTATGAGTGAGCTATGTGTGAGTGCTCTTAGTGAGAGTGTAAATAGCACAGTGTTTATATAAATCTGTAATTTTTTTTGTATTTAATAAGACAAAAAACGATGTATCCCCCTCCCCTTCCTTCTTACCATTGTCTTCCCTGATGGTCCTAGTGTTGAGAGTGAATTATAGCCTGCAGATCTAGAGTTCACTCTCGCGAGATCTGAGCGTTGCCGTGGTAACCGCGGCAAACGCTCAGACCTTGCAAGAGAACCCGGCAAAGCTGCTAGCTATAGCTCCCGGGTCCTCTCCTGCCTCCCTCTCCAGCCGTCGGTCAATATCAGTGCCTCTGGGCCGGTGAGGGAGATCTTTGATCAAAGATCTTTGATCTTTGATCTCCCCACCGGCCCATGAAGGCACACAGCAGGGTCGGCGCTCGTATGTCCGATGGCCAGTTCAGGCCTGTGTCAAACCACCTTAGCATGCTTTGGAAACTTTTTTGGGGTCCTTCTCAGAGTCTGTTGGCACATCTCTTGCATCCAGCCTTCTCCAGAAGAAGTATCCAATTTAATCTAAAGGGGAAAACAGGGCCATGCAGGATGGTGCTCACTGGTTAAGAGAGTGTTAGCTGAGTCAATGAGCACTGTCCTGAATGAGCTACATCTTACCTTGTGACAGCACCAGTGTAGTCTTGACACAATAGCTACTACATCTGGTTGTAGTGTTTGTGGTGCTTTGATTATTCCCTTAAGCATGTAAATCTGCAGATCACACAAATTCTTATAATGTCATGTTTGTAAAACCTGTAATTTCAAGCTCTATGTACATGCACATAATGTCACACACATATATGCTCAGTGCTGCTCCTATATGTTTGAAAGGATATATCACTAAATAGATGAATATTGTATAGTTCTATGCTTGATTATGCAAGTGGGTGACAAAAAAAAAAGAAAGAAAGCTTATACAGTAGTGTTAAATATATATATATATATATATATATATATATATATATATATTGTTTATCTGTGTATTATATTTTTATTCATTCTTTTTTTTTCTAACAAGAGATATTAACTTATCAATATTAACTCATTAATTATCAATATTTGTTTTCAGAAATTGAAATCAGTCAATGGTCTTTGAGTCATATCAACAGACCAAATTGTAAATATCTGTCTGACTTTTAGCTACAACTTATTCATAAAGGAAACTGTTTAATACATTTTCATGATATCAATTTGACAACAAATTTAACCTTGCAATTTTTGGTGTGCTTGACAAGCCTGACACCAAATTAAAAATACTTGATGTTGTTGTACAGATATAGTCTAGTATTATCATATCAAAACATTGGGTTGTATATATAAAACAACAGATTTTAAATACCAATTTTTAGGTCAATCTCTATTGACAACAAAAAATAATAGTAAGATGAATTTATTTGTTCTGACTCTATTCTCTGAATAGGATAGTCAGTTGAATAACATGAAAAACATCATGAAATATCTAGGCCTAAAGCAAGATACTTTGTTCCCAAATTCTGTGTTGTGTTTTCTGTATAGACAAAAATTATTAAAAGAATAAAAAATAAAATGTCAGGTAGAATTCTCATGATAGTTTGTGGTAGTTGGTAACTTATTTGTTACAGCAAAAAACATTAGTAGATAGCAAAT